TATCTAATTAAATAGTTTAATTATTTATTTGGGCTAAATCCAAATAACCTTGTCTGGAGAAATCTGGAATCAACAATTCATATGTTGGTTGAAATTCTTGTTGTTGGTCTAAGGTTGTTGTAGGAGAAATTAATGATGGAGTTGATGAAGTTGGAATAAAAGATAATTGTGAAGAAGGTAGAAGGTATTGAACAAAATGTACTTGACAACTGTTAGGAACGAAGCTTTTGAGTTCTTTAAAAAGTTCATTACAAGGAGATAAATGGAGGATATTTTGAGATTCGAAATATGATTTAATTCTTTCATTAAAAGATTCTCCTAACAAAGATAAATTTTCATGGAAGTTATAATCATAAATTTTGTTATTAATAGTCATTCCAGTTAATGGTGAAAATCCATTTTTATTTTTTCGGGATTTTGTTGTTAATCTGATAATACTACTTCGATGAATTATTTCTATTAATTTTTCATAAACATCCCCACCTAATTTTTTATTACTCATTACTACATTTCCTTGTGGACTTGTGATTGAAACAATATTAAATGATTGAAATGTTTTAGCTAATCTCCCAGGACGTTGAATATCAATACTATATCCAAGAGTATTTAAAATACCACATAGATATGTTGTGTCATATACTTCCTTTCTCCCAACTTGAAGTGCATTGCAATGACTCAAAAATTCAACAAATAAGAGTATAACAAAAATCATAAATATTAAGTTCTTTTTAATGAATTTTTCTTTTTTTATGTTGCATATTTTTTTATATTAAAAAAATTTTTGAGTTTATGTTGAATAACTTGTATTTTTTAAACACAGAGAATGGATTATTTTTTTAATGAATATTTTGTTGGTAATACGAACGTTTTTAATTTTTTTGAAGTGATAAAAATGATTTGTTTTAATAAGAAGTTTGTTATGAGTAAATATTAGTCTCATATTTCTATTTTTTGATTCGTTTTAAAAAAAGTTTTCATAATCTGATAATTCAATAATAATACTTCCATAGAAAAGACTTTTTTATTGGGTTATTTATAAAGGAGAAGATTGTATTTTTATTTATGACAAATCAGTAAGTAATCTGTAACTTTGTTACTAACAAATAAGATGAGATATACTTATAATTGTTTACTAATGAAAACAACTTAAAGATGTTCCTTTAATTATTGAAATGTTAAGTTCAACAAAAATAGAAGAGATATACAATATACTGTCATTAGAATAGACTTTCTTAAATAGAAGATAAGACAACAAAGAATTAATAATATCAATTGATAATAACATAGAAAAATTGTATTCTTTTAATAATATAGACGTTTATGTGAATAATTTTCTAATTGATAAAAATGACAGATAAAAATAAGTTGGGGTGTAAGAAATATTCTTCTATTCAAATTAAATATATAAAAATGATAAGATAATAAAACAGTAAAAGAAAACAATTTTTGATATTATTTCAACAGTATTATTTTGTTTTAACTTAGAAAAAAAAATTAAAAGAAAAAAAAATTAAAAGAAAAAAACTAGAATCTAATCAATCATGCTTCCATTTGACCCTTCAGAGAATGTTATTAATGACAAATATGAAATTATTAATCAAATTGGGTGTGGAGCATATGCATCTGTATATAAAGCAAGAACAAAAACTACAGGAAAACTTGTTGCTATTAAACAATTAAAAAATGACAGGGACCAAGGATTTCCTGTTACATCATTGAGAGAAATACAACTTTTACAAGAAATTCATCATCCTAATATTATTCAACTTATAGAAGTATTACATGCAAATGACTTTATTGAAAGAAATACAACTATATCATTAGTATTTGAATTTATGCCACATGATCTTTCAAGTTTTCTTAAATGTGAAGAAATTGTAAGTAAAGTAGCGATAGGACAGTTAAAAGGATATATGTTACAAATTCTTCAAGCTATTCAATTTTTACACTCAAATAATATAATTCATCGTGATATTAAAACAGGAAATATTCTTATTAGTGATGACAATCATATTAAATTAGGTGATTTTGGACTTGCAAGAAAACAAGATGACGTTGGTATTTATACAAATAATATGGTCACTCTTTGGTACAGACCACCTGAATTACTCTTAGGTGAAACAAGGTATAAAGGAGAAGTTGATATGTGGAGTGTTGGTTGTGTTTTTCTGGAGATATTTAAACATCGTCCAGTATTTCATGGAAAGACAGAAAATGAACAATTAAGTAAAATATGGGAAATATGTGGTACACCAACTGATGCAGAATGGCCTCAATTTAGAGAAATGAAAATGTTTCAAACAATTGCACTTCCTACACCTCAAAAACGACTTTTAAAAGATGTGTTTAAAGGATATGATCCAATTTTTATGGACCTTATTGACCATCTTTTACAACTTAATCCTAAATCTAGATTTACTGCTGATGAAGCCTTACAACACAGGTATTTTACTGGAGAACCACGACCACTAAAACCAGAAGAAATGACTAAATTTGAACCATCATTAGAGTCTTGTTATCGTAAAATGCAAAAAGAAAAACAAATTAATAGAAGTGATAGTCGTGAAAGAAGAGATGATAGAATGAATAGAAGAAGACAAGAAGATGATTTTCGTTATCAAAGAGCAAATAAAAGAGGAAACTCATTTAATAATAGAAGAAGAACAGACTATTCAAGAAGAGATAATTGGAGAGGAAGAAGAGGTTCCAATGAAAAATTCTATTAAATAAAATGATTGTATCAGTTATTATTTTTTTTTCTGAAAAGGCAAATAAAAAATCTAAAATAACTCTTTCAAACAAAAAAAATTTTTTTAAAATAAAAATAGTATCAATTTTCAAATATTGCCATTTTATATTTTTCTTTATAAAGAGAAGTTTCAAATGCGTTTTTTTTTTAATACTCTAACTCTGCAATTTTTATAACTTTTTTTAATTCATAAAAATTGAAGTTAGATATATTTAAAAAAAAGATAAATGTGGCTCATTACGAAACTTCCTCTGTTTATTTCTGTATTATCTTTTTTTTTCGATTAGTTTGGTTCAAATTTTCAAAATTTATAACTTAAAAAGATCTTCAAAAATAGTTATAGAACAAAAATAATAACATGGCAACCCAAAAGTTTGGTTTTTAACAATATTATTAAAGTTTAAATTAGTATATCTTACTGTTGCAGGTCTGTTGGTATTCTCCTTGTTGGTATTTCTAATGTAGGAAAAACTAGTTTAGTAAATATGTTTTGTGTTTGTAGACATAATTTAATGAATAACAAAAAGGAATTTACTGTTATAGAAAAAAGAAGTTACAACAGATTATGTATCAACTTCAGGAGAATCAAAAACAACAACAGAAATGGTTTTAGGAAAGAAAACTTATAGTGTTGCATTTGTTTGTTATTTTTATAAATTAATAATAATGAAAATAGTCTTTCATTATAAATTTAACATAGATTAAACAAAGAAATAATTTATATAGTACGACTGTAATGGAGATGACCTGATCAATAATAGAGGAACTGTAAGTTCTTATTTTAAAAAAGCTAAAATTCATTTATTAGTAGGTTCAACTCAAAATCCTGACTCAGTTGAATATTTTGAAGGGTTATTAAAAAATATTTCTGCTGATCCAGATGCTACTCCTATTTATCGTATTGTTATTTTAACACACTCTGATTTACCAGACGATGATGACGTTGAAGAACAATGTAAAAAGATGTTAACTGATGATATTAATTTTTATAAATGTAATTGTTTCCGTGATGGAGAAAGTATGAGTAATCATTTGACTGACTTCCTTAAAAGGGTTATTGTTGAACATCCAGAATTGGTTGAAGGATGTGCTATTGATTCAAAGTTATCTAAAAGCGAAAAATATGATAAGAAAATAGATGCTAAAGAAGATAAAAAACAGCAAAAGAAGAATAAAACATCAGAGAGTGGATGTTGTTATATTCTCTGAATTTAAAACATAATTTATTAACCAATATTTTCCTTTCTTAATTTTATTTTTATGATAATTTTTTAGTTAAGGAATAAGTTATTTCATAAAGATATGATAAGTTAGCTTAGTCATTCGAGACTGATTCTAATGTCTTCT